AAGAGGCACTTATAATGATAATAGTGTTGTCAGGGAGAACTAAATGAATACATGTATAGAGAATATTGAATATACACTTCAGAAAACAGGTTCTTTACAAAACTAGTCAATACCAAAATTGCCTATTTTTGGGCATTAATGATTCAAAAGTGTTTACAGTTATTTTTAGATAGATATTCAAAACAGGTTACTGACTTTAAGACATATATGAGCTGCAGAACTTTGAACTAATGTGAGTTTTTTTTAAATTAATTTTCATTTTAATTGATAACACAATAACACTATTTCACCGAAGGGTTTGAGTGACATTGGTCAAAGTTTGGTTTCAAATATTTCTTCTGATCCGGGAGCGGGGAGCTTTCTTTTTTTCCACACATAAGGATTGAGATGATGAACAATAATGGAAAATTCAGAACAGTTGGTGCAAAAGTAATGTCCTAGGCCGTGGTTAATACTTTAATACTATATATGTATACTCAATATACTCAAGTAATCAAAATACAGTACTTGTATCAGAGTATGCAAAAATAACCCTGCTAATACATGCATTATTTTTGTCATTAATATTATTATTATTATTATTTTCATTTATATACAAATCCTTTCATTGTCTCAAAGTCTTAAAGTCGCACTAACAAACACTCCTACACCTTCAACTAATGTACAAGTCTTTAGTGATAACGGAGCATTTGGAGGAAACCGAGACAGACACAGTGAGAACATGCAAACTCCACACAGAAAGGCCCAGTTTGGCGGTTATTCTGTGTTTCAGAATTCTTCCTCGACACGTGTGAAGTGAGTGAAAACAGATTACTCCATAAGTGCAGAAATACAAAGGTTTGACACTGCACAGATATGAGACATTATATAAGTCCAAAAGAGACTGACCAGTGACCCTGACCAGAGACCCTGGAGAGAGAGGAGGGAGGGAGGAGAGGGTAGAGAGGGGAGATGAGAGAGAGGAGAGGGAGGAGAGGGTATAGAGGAGAGAGGAGAGAGGAGGGAGGAGAGGGTAGAGGAGAGGGAGAAGAGAGAGGAGAGAAGGGAGAGAAGAAAGAGGAGAGAGAGGACTGAGAAGAGAGAAGAGAGAAAGGAGAGAGGGGGTGAGGAGAAAGAGGACTTAGAAGAGAGAGGAGAGAGAGAGGATAGTGAGAAGAGAACGACGAGAGAAGAGAGGGGATAAAGAGGAAGACGGGAGAGAGAGAAGAGAGAGGAAGTAGGAGAGAGAGAGAAGAAAGTAGAGGGAGAGGAGGGAGAGGAGAGAGAGGAGCGAGGAGAGAGAGGAGAGGAAAGAGAGAGAGAGGAGAGAGAGTAGAGAGAAGAGAGGGAGAGAGGAAGAGGAGAGAAGAGGGAGGGAGAGAGAAGAGAGAGGAGGGAGAGGCGAAGAGAGAGGAGGAGAGGCGAGAGGAGAGGAGAGGAGAGGAGAGGAGAGAGAGAGGAGGGAGGGGAGAGAGAAGAGAGAGAGGAGAGAGAGTAAAGAAAAGAGAGGGAGTGAGAGGAGAGAGGGGAGAGATAGGAGAGAGAGAGGAGAGAGAAGAGAGGAAAGAGGAGAAAGAGAAGAGAGGAGGGAGGGGAGAGAGAAGAGAGAGGAAAGAGGAGAGAGAGAAGAAAATGGAGGGAGAGGAGAGAGAGTAGAGAGAAGAGAGGGAGAGAGAGGAGAGAGAGAAGAGAGGAGGGAGGGGAGAGAGAAGAGAGAGGAGAGAGGAGAGAGGAGGGAGAGGAGAGGAAAGAGAGAGAGGAGAGAGAGAGGAGAGAGAGTAGAGAGAAGAGAGGAGGGAGAGGAGAGAGAGAAGAGAGGAGAGAGAGAAGAGGGAGGGGAGAGAGAAGAGAGAGGAGAGAGGGGAGAGGAGGGAGAGGAGAGGAAAGAGAGAGGAGAGAGAGAGGAGAGAGAGAGGAGAGAGAGTAGAGAGAAGAGAGGAGGGAGAGGAGAGAGAGAAGAGAGGAGAGAGAGTAGAGAGAAGAGAGGAGGGAGAGGAGGGAGGGGAGAGAGAAGAGATAGGATGGAACAGAGAAGAGAGAGATTATGTGGAAAAGGGGAGAGAGGAGAGAGAGAAGAGAGACCCTGACCAGTGACCAGCCCGTGACTTCCTCAGCGCACACAGAGCAGTTGGGGGAGTGGTCAGTCTGTGTCAGTCACCTGCCGAGCTGAGTCAAAAGACTTAATTACAAGCACATGTTCCCACACGAGCCGGAAGAGCACGCTTTTAAGGCAAACAGAGAGTTATGGCCTCGCAGATCTCCGAGCAAATAAAATAAACAAGTTCTGCTACTGCGTGCCAGTGCGCTATAGTGTGTGTCACTGTTGTATCTTTCTATTTATTATTCACTTCATGGGGCCTTTAAGTGATCACGAGAGATTGGTGCGTACCACATCCTATTCTTGTTAATGGAAAATTGGACGTGGATAAAAGAGTTGTGTGAGGAAAAAAATTATTTAGCTGAACTGGTCTCGATTAGGAAACAGTTCATAAGGAAATAACTCCAGGCGTATAGTGGCAAATGTAACATAGTAGGGAGGAAATATTTTGAGGAATTTTCTTGTTCTGCTTACGACATTTCTTGATGACATTCGCTCCTCCAAGTTAAAACCTGTGACAAAATGAGTTGTTACAGAAATTAAAATTGTGGACAGAGATGGAGCGCAATTAATTATTTTACTAAACTACTGTATGTATTCTTTATGTCTACTGTATCTGTACTTTGCAGGTTTGACGTGGTTAGCAATCCTTCTAAGTTCATTACATGTTTTTGTTATTATTGCCTTTCCTGCATTCAAACCATACAAAATGTTTGATTCTCTGATCTGTTGCTGCTGAATCGTCAAGTTTGTAAAGTCCTCAGAGGCGACTGCTTTCGTGATATACGGCTGTACAAAAACAATTGATTTGATTTGAATGTGAAGTAGTTAACCACGCTTCTAAATGCATTGATACAGGCCATGTCTTACGCATATTATAGCACATTGTCTACGATTGAGCCAAAATGTATATTATGTATTACTTTACACATAGTACTTTGAGAATAGTACTTTACCTCATCTGCTTGTCGGTCTAAATACATTTGTATCATCGAGCTCTGTGTGTGTTTGTGTTTGTGTGTCCGTGTGTGTTTGTATGAGTGCCTGTATTGCGTGTGCGTATATGGGCCGACACCTGAGCAGTGTTGATCCGCGGCCAGGCTCCAGGCCCCGGGCCCCGTGCGCCTGCAGCTGCTTGGGAGGTGTAATAGGTTGTCTTACAAAGCACAGACAGGAAATGAACCCTGGTATCTCACTAGAAAAAGCTACATCTGGATCCAATTATTCATCGCAGTTGTTTTTGGCTTGTGATAAATGATTTAGTCGCACTACAGACACAATTTCTCAAGCGCGCTCTGTGCCTCACGATGATGCGAGGTGATAAAAGTCATTTACCTGCAGCTGCGACTTTCCTTTAATTAAAGGCGGGCTCTGTGGGTTTGGCAGCGTCGTAGTTTTGTTTCTATTCTTATTGCTGTGCAGCTCTCCTCAGCCTCCTGTGGAGCAGAGGAGGACATTAGGTCTTATCTTGGCGCGATGGCCTGACGCGCCTGATGCACTTGCACGCAGGGCTGCACTAAATACCTTCACAGGCCAAATCAAACACGGGCATTTCAGCGCTGACCACAAGAGACCCTGTAATAGCTCCTCGGAGGTTATGAACTGTTGACAGTTAATAAGTCAGAAAATTTCCCCTTGAAGAGGATGTGTGATTCCATCTGCAGGGCACCCAGTACAAAGAACCGGAAAATAAAGATCTGCCTGAGCGCGCTGGAGTCTGTCCGAGCTGCTTGTTCTCCAGAGCACGTCTCTCAACGTTTTCTGGTTCTAGACACAAGCAGGAAAAATGAGCCCATTATAGAGTCATTTTCTCTGAACGAACAAAACTATTGGATGTGTGCTCAAGAAAAGAAAAAAAAAAGTGTATTTATTCATGAATACAGTACATTTCTTCCCCCATACTTCCAAATTTAAACTATTATTGTTTCTAATATTCAATTAATCTTCAATTAATGCAATATAAAAGTATCAATAGTTATAATAAAAGGGGTATGATGCAACTTTTAAGCATTTTTTACCTGTATGAGAGGTCAGAAAACCTACACAACAATTGATCCTATAGCAGTGGAGGAACAATTGTGTCTATGGGTCACTAGAATACAAGTAAATAATATGCAATAAATATGCAAAAATATCAACTCTTTCGCATAAAAATCCAGAAACAGCATACCGCTAAAGAATTATATCTTTGCTCTTTTGAATGTACTGTGATTATTTAAGATTTTAAATTTGCTTTTCTTGTTTTGTTGAGCACTTTGAGTGGCCTTGTGCAAGAACCCTGCTCTACAAATAAACTTGCCTTGCCTGTCATTAGATAAGGAACCAAAATCCTTCATCCTTTACAGAACCTTGTCAAATCATTTGTACATGTATGAAAATCGTATCGAATTGAAAGACCTGTGTAACGAGATATGTGTGACTTGAAAGTGGAGCTTGCCCTTTGAGATTTCACTTGATATTTCTTGCGCTTGTCATCTATTTTCCTTGGCCCCTGGGACATCGACCGTGGTAACAGCAGCACACAGCGGGCCGTGGGCTGACCTGGGCTGTCCCGCACATTTCCCAGTGCTCCAGTGATGAGGGGAAATCTCTGCAGTGATCCTTAACCCCTGATGAGAGGCCTTCTCCATTTCAGCTCTGGTCCCGGGCCCCAATCCGCCTCTGCCTCCTTCTGCCACTCCTGCCCCCCCCCTCTAACCACACAGGGCATCACTTCCTCTCATTTCTCCAACTCCCAGGCTGCTCTGCTCTCCTGAGACAAGTGCTGTAGCTGTGTTTTGCAGGCCCACAGGCACATTTGACGTTTTGTTTAATGTTTCTTGGTATAAAGCATGACTCTGACTCATCTGACTGATTATTTCCCATACTTCATGTCGCGTTGCAGTGTTAGCTCTGTGTTGGTGAGTTGCGTGTGCTTGGACAGGTGTCAGCCGCACTGACCTGAACGTGGAACAGCTTTTGTTGATGAAGGAGCAGCAGACGGCGATGAAGACTCAACACACAGACACGCTCCAGCAGCCTCACCTGAGACTCGGCGAACAGTGAGAGCGTTTAGAAAGCGCTGGTGATTCTTCTCCAACTCCATTTTAATGCAATTGAGGGAGACAGATGCAAACTTGTGCTTGCCGATTTAGGTGGTGCGAAAACCCTGTCCGTTCAGAGGTACTGATGCACCCCAGTTCTAGTGCGGTGGAGCTGGCATGTGTACACGACAATCGGATCAAAATGAGACAACGGGCGGTGACGCATTTAAGAGCACAGGAGATTAAAAAGTGTGTGTATTTGGACAGAAATAGTTTACACACTCATTTTGTTCCGTGCCCATAGTCCTGTGCTGCACATGCTGTGTTTGGACATTTGGTCGCACGAAGCAAAAGTGACATTTTACAGACTTCATGGTTTTATGAGTGCCTCGGAAATTCAGTGATTGATGCTACAGCCGACGAGGATGTGTGAAAATCAAAAGCTCCAAGTAAATATAATGTGTGATTACTTTTACTGGGTTTTTGCTCATAATAGCAGTTTTATTTACAATTACTGTAATACGTTTTGAGTTGAAGGGAAAGATACAAGACGCCTTTGAAAGCGTCCTTAGGTCTGGAGCGTCTAGCGGCTTCTCCACTTTTTTCTGGTAGGTAAAAAAAAAATACATGCATTTATATCTCCTATTACTGACAATAGCAATAAAAGTAATTCTGATTCTGAAAAGACTTTTTAAATGTAATCATTTGAACATCTAGAATGATGGATTACATGCCATGGTAGTACATAACCTCTTACATCAGTGCTTGGAATTTAACAACAGTAACAGAGAATTCTTTGGGGGACCATTAAAACTGGTCTGGAAGCAGAAAGACAAGTCACAAGCCCAAACACTCTCTGACCATACACTTATTTCCCATCATTCTCCTTCCTCTACATACTATTCCAGAACTTATTTTTCAAACCATTTCCCAAATGTATTCAGGAATGAAGTCTCAAAACACATACACGCGATCAACCTCACCTGAAACAGCAGCTATAGCAATGTTTTGGTTGTCTATTTTCAAAATCTGGGGCAGCCTTATCCTGGGACGTCCTGAGAAGAAAATGTGTGATTTTTCTGTCCTGTGGGGTTGAAAGGAGAAAATCTATTGACAAAAGCATGAAAATATTTGATCACTAGCAGCAGGGGCAGGAGTGTTTTAATGACCCGATCCACAGGGCCCTGGCTGGCTGCGGGCTTTCTCAGACTGCACTCGTCCGCCTGCCAACCCTAGGGGCAGCACTGAGATGAAACAGATAAGATAATTGTGTCTAATGAAATCCAGATCTCAAGGTCCGTCTGCGCCGAACCAGCCTACTCCCCCTCTCCCCGTCTCCCCCTCTGAAGGGACGGCTGCATATTGATCTTGAATGTGAGGAGAGCCTTGGAACTCAGGCTCTAATTCGATCCAGACCTGCACAGAACCAGCGCTGCTCCAAAATCCGTCCCGTTTGAAGTCTTGAACACGGCACCTTGAGCCCGCTGGACCCCGTCGTCATGACAACCCTAATTATCTTCTTTTTACAGGCTACTTTTACACAGGAAGCCAGCCATTATGTTCTTTAGGCATTTGCATATCTCTGGGGCACGAGTTAAAGGTTGCACAAATGAACCAAAATAACACATAATATGAACACATGTGTGAGAAAGTGACACACTGTGAGGCTTTTGGTTCAGGTTTATATCTGCGAATATACTGGAGAATGTGCGCTCAAGGACAACCGACACGGCAGCTGTCTGCTCCGAAACATCTGAAGTAAAACTGTTGGCCTTCCACGTCGATCATGGGCTCGTTTGCTTGGATCCAGTAAAAGTCCAGTACGTTTGGCAAGTCTCTCCGTACAAAAAACTTGAAAGAAAAAGAAGAAAAACACTTTGAATCCTTTGTCTGGCTTTAGTATTCTTTTTATTGGAATAAATTATCAACACTTTCACATGAAAATGGGTTTTCCACACAGCACAATCTGAAAGTTTTGAGAGGAGTGGATTATGTTTTGGCAACAGCAATAATGACATTGTGTATGAAACATTTGAACTAGAAATTCAACAAGTGCTGTATAGTAAGCAAATATATTATGTATATATCAAATTTAGTCATCAGACAAATGAACAAAATAAACATTATGAAATAATAATAATAATAAATCAAACATAAATTACAATTTTTTGACTGAACACAAAGTGAAGGAAATACAAAGTGGAACAGACGGGTTTGAGAAGTTAAGTTCTTTTCTCAATCAATCACGTTTATTTCTATGGCCCAATTCGTACAGGAAGTGCTTTACCACACACTCAACAAAAACAACAACAACAAAATATTTAAATGACACATTCAAAACACACTCATAAACTGTACCTAGAGCTACACAAAAAAGTTTTCGACCTGGAGCAAATTCTGACCAATTGGAAGCTTCTCTCACATTCCCAGGAAGACTGTTCCATATCACTGACAATAACCTCCAATATTACACATTTCGACTCGCTGCCTTCGATATTATTTCCAAACGCCTCATACAGTCACTTTGTTCTCATTCCTGGCTCACGCGGACAGTTTTTCCCCTTGTGCCGCCGCCAAAGCAGCCTAATCAAATAGCCTCTGTGCGAAAACTCGGGTCATAAAAATAATAGCAGGGAGTGAATAGAGATTACAAGTCAAGTGGGCTGAGTCATTTAGCACCAGGGCCCTATCTCCAGCCTGCGTGTGTGTGTGTGTGTGTGTGTGTGTGTGTGTGTGTGTGCGTGTGTGTGTGTGTGTTTGAGGCGGTCGTGGCCTCACATGTGTGCGTGAAAGCAGAGGCTGACCAAACACTTTTGTCCTGATGTAAAAACTACACTTTGAACTTGATTGAGCTCCGCAGTCACAAACAGACAAGTTGGATGAAAAATGGAATCAAGATGAAGAGATTATTTGTTTGTCACGCAGTGGGGAAATTTCAGTGTTGCATCACAAGTTACAGACAGTAGGAATGAGGAGCACACAGCAAAAGAAGGAAAAATAGATTAATGAAATAAAACCTTTAGCTTTAGCATAATAAGGAAATAAATCTGAAATATCTTAAGCCTAATGAAGAAACAAGAATTAGGTACAAAATATCTGACTTGAGCATAATAACGAAGCAAGTAAGATACTGTATATTGCAAGAAATATATAGTTGTATGAATAAAGTGACAATGGAGACACGTGTGGATTCATTTACGGTACATACTGTATACATATATATTCTGAATTATGTGTTGTGTTATAATCAGGATTATTACTGCAGACTAAAAGGAACTATGAACCAAACCAGTACATAACCCATCACTGGATTTTATGACCTTACCAATTACCAATGTTTTCTGGTTAATTCAAGTCAGTAATCTTTATGTATTATAGCGCCTTTCACGGATCAGAGTCACCAAGCACTTTACAATGTGGGCATTTGTCTCTCACTCCACACAGAAATGGGAGCGAGGATTTTGTGTATATTTATTTGATTTTCTTATAAATGACATCTGTATTTTATGTGGAATAGATCAACATGGACTAATTATATTTGGCCTTTTCTGAACAATAGTTTAAACTCAAGATAATCTAAGCACAAATACAATGAACATGATATCCACAATATATTTATGTTTATAATGTTCATGCAGATTATCCAATCAGAGAGCAGAATGTGGATCTCATTTGGGTTGCCAGTTTGTTTGGTGAAATGTGGCTGGTTTTGGCTCTATATATATTTTGTATAATTAACAACAGATTTAACAAAGAAATGATAGCACTACACATCTGTTTGAATGAAATCGGAGACAAATTCCTCGTCATACGCAATGCACATAGTACTGTTTCTAGGTAACCCCAGCTGGTGATGTGCACCTGTAATCAGTGCTTAGGAGCTACATGTGTAACAGGCAGGAAGATTCTGACAACAAAAGAAGGCTTGTATTTGCAATGACTTCTTTGGACCACTAAGAGTTTATATCACATACCGTCCCTTTAAATGTGTGTCTTTAGTTTGCTGTTAAGTTCTTTTGTTTTTTGTTGTTGATTTCATTAACGCAGAGAGGGTTAAAAAAACACTCATTTTTAGATTTGTGATGTCATTCAAAAAGGCTGTGCAATTAAAAAGGTAAAGGTGCAAGATTCATATATAATACATAAATAATAAGTTTTACCTTGTTTTTAATGTAAACTAGCCTAATGTAAACTTGGCCATTCTATTCATGAATTCTTTGACACTGTAAACCTTCGGCCACTTTAACCAGCAGCTGTGTCTGATCTGAACAATCCATCTATTGTGCATTGTCCCAGTCTACTAAACTAAACACTTAAATAGAACGTGTCTTGGATCCAAGAGCTCACGCAACAATCCTGTTACTTTAGTGCCTAAAGGGTTAAATATTGAAATAATGTTTGAAAAGTGACATTAATCATAAGGGAAGCTACAACTTTATATTCTCAGTCCCTTTCAAATAAATACATTCATTTTAATGCATTTTCCAGGTTATTTCCTTCCTGCTCTTTCAACACAGTCTTGGCTCTTTACCCGGGCTTAGGACTGCTCTGACAAATACAATTAAGCTGCAGCTGTTTTGACCTTTCATTGGTGCTGAACTTATTTCACTGAATTCTTTTAGCTCCAGATTGAGACCTCTTGAGACATCCTCATTGACACGTAACTGTTTTAATCATCTGTAATTGTATGTATTTGTGTTTGACTTTTTTGGCCTCTTGTCCAGGACTTGAAAAGGAGGTTCTTAATCTAAATGGGACTTTCCTGGTTAAATAAATGTTAAATAATAATACAAAATGAAATCAACTTTGAGTTTGTGGAAAAGTAAGTATATACATATGTACTGCTATTGTTTTAAATGTAATTGTAATTTTACTTTTACGACTTTTCACATTTCCATTTGTCTGTTTTAACACTTTTCATGTTCACTCCTTGAAGAAGGCATTGTATACATTTTTCTTTTATTTTCTAAAATGTAGGAGCAGTATTATTGTACTTTTCAACCTCTCGTTTTTTGATTATAGGCCTCTACAAAATGGTTGAGATGCAGATTGATTGCAAAAGTGCCTAAACCAAGTGATTGAGATGCCCCAATTTTTTTTAGAATTAAAAGTATTTGGATCTTCTACACCAGACATTAAGTAAAAACATTGCTAACCTACTATTGTCTGGTATAGTAGAACCAAATACTTTTAACCGGTTGATTTCCAAGCTTCAAGTGACTCAAAAAGTGATGTTTGAGGAATCCATTAAAGGGTCAGAGAAAAGTGTCACCTCTGCCTATTACTGCAAGTCTTACTCAAGTCAATATCAATGTCATTTAGCTAATCACTTGTATTTCCGCAGGACAAACAGACAAACACCAGTCCTTGTTTCGCTCCGCTCCTGCTGTTAGATCAGCTGCTGATGTCGTGGGCTTGTGAATCCTGGCGTCCCGCGGTCGTAAAAGTGCCTGCAAGTGACAAAACACACACTGAATCATTACAGGACAATGCATTGCGGCCAAAGCTGTCGGAACAATGCATTCAGTTTACAAGAAAACCACGGATTCTCAGAAAAGTCATTAAAAGGGCTGCGAGAAATGTGTCGGCTTCCTGTTCGTGGGACGTTCTGAGGAGCTTTTCCCCGCTTAAAATATAGTATCAGCATTATATAGCACAAACTATCTTCGTTATTGTTTTTCTTATTGTAAAATGTATAAGATCTTTGTCCACATGTGACCCAAGATCTAATTAACTACTACTAACTTCTACCATTGTGGTTTGTATCGGTACTGGCGATGGTAATCATTCTTAAACCCGATCTGCATACAGTACATTGCATTGTCTTGGGTATAACTATACACTATATATAAATAGAGTTATATCATTTATATTGATATTGAAGCAATTACAGCTAAAAAAGATTGCGGCTTACTACTTATATTGTGTATTTGTGGGCTCTTTGTGTGCTCTTATACTGTCCGGTATGTGCGCTGCAACATTGAAAATTTCCCCACTGTGGGACGAATCTTATTCTTATTGCGGGGACTGCTTGAAAGAATTTTTCATTAACTAGCTATTGATAGACATTGATAGAATGAGGTTCTTTGAGTGACCAGGACATGTTATACATCATTTTAAAGCCAGTTGGGAAAACAAGCATTATTTATTTCATTATAAACAAGGAACACATGATGCAATTAGTTACAATACTCAGGTTATTGCAAGCTGATTTCAAGGTATTTCAAGTACTAAATAGCTTTTATTATTAAAAACAATTACATATTTGTTTGTTCCATTGGTAAATCATATCAAACAACAGTCAAACTACTTTCAAAAATGTTGAAGTGAATGTGTATTGTGTGTATTCAGGATGTGATTGCTGTAAATAGATAGACTACACAAATGTCGGTGCGTTTAGTTACTCCCCAGCACTTGCAGCCTTAAACACCTACAGTATATGAAGTCTGCGTGACAAGTTTGACAAGTGAACTATTCATATTAATCAAATGTTTCCTGGTTTGCTTTTTGCTTAGGTTAGTCCACAATTCAAAACCATTATTCTGACTGCAATATTCCACAGTATGGCATTAAACTGGTCCATCTACAGAAAAGCAACTCATTTTCGCTGTTAAAAGGACATTGGTGGTGATCCAGGCCACTCAACATTAAACAACATTTATGGACAAAGGTCATCTCCCCCAATCGACCAATACCGATGTGTTTTCTGTCTTATTTCTTGTGTTTGAACTGTCTGATTCTCTAATCTGTGTTGGAAAATTCAACAGTTTTCTTAAGTCCCTCGAGATAACTACTGTTGTGATTTAGGGCTGTTCAAGAATACATTTAATTGAACTGAGACATGATTCCTAAGTGCAGAGAGGAGAGTTAACCTGATGTTTAAAAAGAAAACTCTCTTCCCAGCTCAATCTAGAAGACAGCCCACATTTATTTCTTGCTTTTTTTTATGTCTTGAGAAGTTTTATTGCTCACTTTCCTTATTCCCTGCAAGTTGCTTCAGTTCCCAACAGACTCAAGTGTACATACTGGAGTGAGGAATGCTCATAGTGATGGTCCATTTCATTTTAACCCGCTTCAAGGCAATTTTGCTAATCTCCCTCCAAGTTAATTCCCCATTTAAGTCACTATTGGAGAGAAATAAAGGGATCATTGTAAACGGAGGTAACAACACATCAATTATGAGTGTGACATGGGAGGCATGGTGGTGGGCTGGTGGGCCGCCAGGTTAATGAAGCCAATAGGATTAATACCCAGGGAGTGAGGGCCCTGGGGCAGGAGCAACAGGAGGCCGCATCATTAGCTGCACTAACTGGAGACATACGCAAGACATGTGTCCGTCTGACGCACAGCATGACCAAACATGGACACCAATCGGTCTCCTTACAGTTAGAAGGGCCTATTGAACCTTTTTGTCCAAATTGAGTGATTGGTCAAGGTTCCTGAACAGTCCTACAGGGTCTTAATAGTATTGAATGTATGAATTTCCGAATAATAATTTAAAAGGACAGAATGTACACATTTTGTGGTCTAATAAAGTCATCACATTTACAAATAATTCAATTTGTTTTTGTATAGGCCTGAATCACAACAATAGAAAAACCAACACAGATCATAGAATCAAATAAAACAGTTCAAATACGAGAAATACAATGATTAAAAACACATAGAGCCATAAGGGACAGACGACCAATGTCCATAAATGTTGATTTAGTTTATAAATGTTGCTGAATATTGAGTGTCCTCACACACTTTTGTTGCTGCAATCCTCCTACATGTGGCTCCTTAGCAATGATTACTGATGCAATCCACCGGCTGGGGTTTAGCTATAGAAACAGTAAACAGTGTGTATAACGTAAGACTACTTAAAAAAATAATCTATTCATGTGAACAAATGTACGGTGCAATGTTTTTGTTTGTGAACCCAAATGAGACCGACATTTTGGTTGCCTCTGGTTGGATAATCTACTGAAAACCGTGAACTTGAAAACATCAAGTGGGTCGTATATTTAATTAAGAGTAACTCCATTTTAAATTTTTGTCCAGAAAAGGTCAGATATTATTTGCACATGTTGTCTAGTAGATGGGAACATGTACTAGATGTGAGATGTGTATGTAACTTATAATGAGAGTATTACCTCAAAAATAGAAATTCTACCTTTAGGGAAGCAACATGTAGTGAGATTATGCAGAATATATTAAAATACTAGATCCACATAATCATACTGTATATATATTTTAAATCTATAATAATGCATTTTACTTTATACACCTCTTTGTGCAAATTGAATGTATGAATGGTGGGACATTTTTTTAGCTAATTCTGACTAAAGGTTCTGGGTTCAGTTCCACCTCCAGACAGGAGCTTTCTGTGTGGGGTTTCCATGTTCTCCCTGTGTCTGCCCCCCACTACCACCACTAAAAACATGTGCAAAAGTTGAGGGTGAATGAGTGTTGTGTTTGTGGGTGTACCAAAGGATAAGAATCCAGAAAGATGAGTGACATGCTGTTCTATCTCAGATTCAGATTCAGATTCAGATTCAGATTCTTTTATTTGCCATTTGCAGTAAAACCACATTGGAAAAACTGTGCAAGACTACCCCAGTCTGCACCAGACGACACACACCAGAGCTCTTGCCACGGCGCCATCTTTACGGCGCCATGCGACAAACAGTAGAATAATTTGTTTGATATGTTTTATTCTCTGATCAGTGCTGGTAGCTATTGTTGTATTTATGAAAAAGTAAATTGAATGGAATTGAACAAACTTAATGTGTGTTGTTTTGATGAGAAATGCATGTTACAAACCCAAAACACAGGATTTTTCAAAATATTTCACATAAATTGAATGTTGCCACTTAATTTTGATTTTGGTTTTGTATGCTGACCAGTTTCCCCAAGTACCTTTTGTCTTGAGTTCATATTGGCCAATCATGTTGTATTCTCTGACCTCGAGATGTCACAATTAGTTCATCAAGCATGGATTTCACAAGTCAAATAAATAATCTGCAGAAACACAATCTAATTGTTCAAATAAACAGGCCTCATTTTGTCCACATCCCTCTCAAGCTTTGGCATATTTTTATCCTTTGTGGATCAATTGTGGTCTCATTTTTTCCAGGCCCAAACGTGAAGCCATTCATAACTATTGCAGGATGGGGCTAGCACTTTTGAAATGTGCGTGAATATTGATTAAGGGTGGGTCAAAATATTTGAATAATGTTATAACAGGGTGAATGTTGGCCTCTGACAGGGCTGCCCTTTGTCACCGGTTCTGTTCACTGTGTTTATGGACAGAATTTCTAGGCGCAGCCACGGGTCGGAGGGGGTCCGGTTCGGAGACCGCAGGATTTCATCTCTGCTGTTTGCGGATGATGTCGTCCTGTTGGCTCCAACGAACCAGGACCTGCAGCATGCACTGGGGCGGTTTGCAGCCGAGTGTGAAGCGGCTGGGATGAGAATCAGCACCTCCAAATCCGAGGCCATGGTGCTCGACCGGAAAAAGGTGCCTTGCCCTCTCCAGGTGGGTGGAGAGGTCCTTCCTCAAGTGGAGGCGTTCAAGTATCTTGGGGTCTTGTTCCAGAGTGAGGGAGGGATGGAGCGCAAGATTGACAGGCGGATCGGTGCAGCGTGCGCAGTGATGCGGTCGCTGTATCGGACCGTTGTGGTAAAGAGGGAGCTGAGCCGAAAGGCAAAGCTCTCGATTTACCGGTCAATCTTCGTTCCCTCCCTCACCTATGGTCATGAGCTTTGGGTAATGACCGAAAGAACGAGATTGCGGATACAAGCGGTCGAAATGAGCTTCCTCCGCAGAGTGGCTGGGCGCTCCCTTAGAGATAGGGTGAGGAGCTCAGTCACACGGGAGGAGCTCGGAGTAGAGCCGCTGCTTCTCCACGTCGAGAGGAACAAGTTGAGGTGGCTCGGGCATCTGTTCCGGATGCCTCCTGGACGCCTCCCTGGGGAGGTGTTCCGGGCACGTCCCACCGGGAGGAGGCCCCGGGGAAGACCCAGGACACGCTGGAGGGACTATGTCTCTCAGCTGGCCTGGGAACGCCTTGGGGTCCCCCCGGACGAGCTGGAGGAAGTGTGTGTGGATAGGGAGGTCTGGGCGTCTCTGCTTAGACTGCTGCCCCCGCGACCCGGCAACGGATAAAGCGGAAGAAAATGGATGGATGGATGGATGGATATAACAGGGTGGACTTCTAACAGTACTGACAGCGCTCCTTTAATGCACTGTTTGTGGGAAGAAAAGCATAAAACTAGCAACTCATAAATTACAATCTAATCAAGCCACAAGCAAGATCTGTAATCAAGATACAAGTGATCTTTGCTTTTTGAGGTGATTTTTTTTGCTTTGAAATGGTCTCTTTGGACTTGTTGCTTGGGTTAGGGTTAGTTACAAAGAGGACGGAACAATGTGTATGTTTTACTGTGAGGAGGTCTCTTGTTTTTT